ACTCCGCGCGAGGTTATTTCCCAGGAGACACAACCACCCACCAACATCTGGCACGGCGCACAATAGTGGGAATCCTATTCTAGCCGCGCAGACACGGAGGGCGAGGAGAGCAAAATGAATACCGAGACAAAGGGAGAGAGAGCGACGGAGTAGAAAGGGAGCTCGAGGGGGGCAAGTGCCAAGATGTTGTACTACATGCGTTGGACGAAAAAGCTCGGACAAGCTTCTCCGTATAAGATAGGTAGCCCGCTCAAGGTTTTTTCCACGCGATATAACCGCCAACCAGTATCCAACGCGACGAACAATAGTGGGAATCATGTTCTGGCCGCGCGGACAGTAAGCCGAGGGAGGGAGCGAGAGGAAGACCGAGATTGTGCGAGGCACGGTGGCGGGGTAGCTAGACAGGGGAGCTCGAGGGGACAGGCGCGATGTTGCACTACACGCATTGTACGAACAGGCTCGGGGAACCTCTTCCGTGTAGGGTAGCCCACGCGAGATTCACTTCCAGGATGCATAACCACCCACCAACATCCATCACGGCGAACAATAGCGGGAATCATTTCCTGGCCGCGCGCGCAAGGAGGGCGAGGGGGCGAGAGGAATGCCGAGACAAAGCGCGGCAGAGCGACGGGGTAGATAGGGAGCTCGAGGGGGACAGGTACAATGTTGTACTACACGCGTTGTACGAACAGGCTCGGGGAACCTCTTCCGCGCAGGGTAGCCCACGCGAGGTTCGACATAACCTCCCACCAAGATACGGCACGACGAACAATAGTGTGAATCTTAGTCTAGCCGCGCGGACACGGAGGGCGAGGGAGCGAGAGGAAGACCGAGACAGAGCGAGGCATAATGACGGGGTATACAGTGAGCTCGTGGTGACACTTACGATCTTGTACTACGTGCATTGTACGAACAAGCTGGGGAAAGCTTCTCCGCGTAGGGTGGCCCGCGCGAGGTTTTTTTCACGCGATATAACCGCCAATCAATATCCAGCACGAAGAACAATAGTGGGAATCATGTTCTGGCCGCGCTGACAGGAAGGCGAGGGAGCGAGAGGAAGACCGAGATGGAGCGAGGCGCGGTGGCGGGGTAGCTAGACAGGTGAGCTCGATGGGACAGGCACGATGTTCACGATGTTGTACTAGACGCATTGTACGAACAGGCTCGGGTTTTTTTTTTTTTTTTTTTTTTTTTTTTTTTTTTTTTTTTTTTTTTTTTCCTCTCCCAGTCCCAGTCCCAGTCCCTGGCCGAGTCCGCAGCGAAAGGGGCCGCTGCACCTGGCTCCCTCCGGCTGGCCCCCTGGCTGGGCTGCCGACGCCCGCGGTCGCCTTAGGCGGCCCGGCGGGCCCGCCAGCCACCGCGCGGTCTTCGCGCCGCCAGCCGCCGCCGCCCGCCGCCCGCCCGGCCGAGCCGCCCTGCGTGCCTCGGCCTCGAAGCCGCGGGAGCGCTCGAGGCCCTGGCCCGGCCGGCTCCGCTCCGTGCCCGGGCGAGGCCGCCCGCGAAGGCCGCCAGAGCTGCCCCAGCCCGGCGGCCCGCGGCCGCAGCGCCCGCCGGCCCTGCCCGCCTGCCGTAACCCACGACGTCGGGTCCCAGCTTCGCGTCCAGCATTGCGCTGAGCAGCACGAATGCCTGTTGCCACTGCCCCCTCTTCTCGCCCGCGCTGATCCCAGCATTGTAGCCGATGACACTTGGCGCCACCTTCGCCTCTCTCATCTCGCTGGGCAGCGAGAGAGCCCGCTGCCACTGCACGCCGTTCGTGCACGCGCTGATCCCAGAGCTGTAGCTGATGACGCTTGGCTCCACCTTCGCCTCCCGCATCCCGCGGAGCAGCGGGAGAGCCTGCTGCCACTGCTCGCCGTTCGTACACGCTCTGATCCCAGGGCTGATCCCAGAGTTGTAGCTGATGGCATCTGGCTCCGACCTCACTTCCCGCATCTCGCAGAACAGCGATAGAGCCCGCTGCCACTGCTCGCCTTTTGTGCGCGCGCTGATCCCAGAGCTGTAGCTGATAACATTCGGCTCCGATCTCACTTCCCACATCCCGCTGAGCAGTGATAGGGCCCGCTGCCACTGCTCGTCTTTCGCGCACGCGCTGATCCCAGAGTTATAGCTGATGGCATCTGGCTCCACCTTCGCCTCCCGCATCTCGCGGAGCAGCGGGAGAGCCTGCTGCCACTGCTCGCCGTTCGTACACGCTCTGATCCCAGGGCTGATCCCAGAGTTGTAGCTGATGGCATCTGGCTCCGATCTTACTTCCCACATCTCGCAGAGCAGCGAGGGAGCCCGCTGCCACTGCTCGCCTTTCGTGCACGCGCTGATCCCAGAGCTGTAGCTGATGACATTCGGCTCCGATCTCTCTTCCCACATCCCGCTGAGCAGTGATAGAGCCCGCTGCCACTGCTCGTCTTTCGCGCACGCGCTGATCCCAGAGCTATAGCTGATGGCATCTGGCTCCACCTTCGCCACCCACATCTCGCTGGGCAGTGAGAGAGCCCGCTGCCACTGCTCGCCTCTCGCGCGCGCGCTGATCCCAGAGCTGTAGCTGATGACACTTGGCTCCACCTTCGGCTCCCGCATCTCGCTGAGCAGTGGGAGAGCCTGCTGCCACTGCTCGCTGTTCGCGCACGCGCTGATCCCAGAGTTGTAGCTGATGGCATCTGGCTCCAACTTCACTTCCCAAATCTCGCAGAGCAGCGATAGAGCCCGCTGCCACTGCTCGCCTTTCGTGCATGCGCTGATCCCAGAGCTGTAGCTGATGACGCTTGGCTCCACCTTCGCCTCCCGCACCTCGCTGAGCAGCGGAAGAGCCTGCTGCCACTGCTCGCCGTTCGCACACGCTCTGATCCCAGGGCTGATCCCAGAGTTGTAGCTGATGGCATCTGGCTCCGACCTCACTTCCCACATCTCGCAGAACAGCGATAGAGCCCGCTGCCACTGCTCGCCTTTCGTGCACGCGCTGATCCCGGAGCTGTAGCTGATGACATTCGGCTCCGATCTCACTTTCCGCATCCCCCCGCTTGCTTGAACGCTGCGATGCAGTCCTGCTTGCGTTGAAGGAGAGAACCTTCAGCAGCAGGGCGCGTGGGACGGGAGCTCGGAGGCTGCTTAGAAGAGCGACGGCGCTCCGGCTTCTTGGGGGCCATTGCTGCGGGCACTCTGGTGTGGAGAGGTGACGCGAATCAGTAGGGCCCTGCTGGGACCCTTCCGGTCTCGCGAGGCCTGGGAGTCTGACTCCGAGGCGGGGCGCTTCGCGTCGCGGCTGCGGTCTGAGTGCAGGGCACTCTCGAGCCGAGACTAGAGAGAGAGAGAGAGAGAGAGAGAGAGAGAGAGAGAGCAGTGTCTCGGAATACTTGCGACTTCAGGAATCGGCCCTGCGGGCGCGGACAGCGTAATTTACAAGGTTCCAGCGTATTTCACAAGGGATCCTGGCGCTGGAAGCGCGAACCCAGCGTAATTTACGAGGGATCTTGGCCCTGGGAGCGCGGAGCCAGTGTAATTTACGGGGGGTCGTGGCCCTGGGACCGCAGACGCAGCCCTAACTTATCAGGATTGCGGCACGGCGTAATTTGCGAGGGATCTTAGCTCTGGTAGCGTGAACCCCGATATGGCCCCATGAGCAACATTTGGGGGACATATTGGGGTGTTCCTGGCGCGATATTGCGGCTCTCCAAGGGTCATCATGGGAGCCCCTGGGCCGAGGGGCCATGCCAGGACCATCATGGACCCTTAGAACCATTTTGGGATTATCTTCGGCCTTCGGGGCTATCCTGGGGCCATTCTGGGGCCGCGGGGCCCCGCCCCAGGCGCTCAGACAGCCAACGCCGCCGAAGGATACATTTTGGAACAATTCGGTCTGGGTGGCCTCCCCGTCCCTCGTCCTCCTAGCCCCCTAGCCTCCTAGCCTCCAGCCTCCACCTCTCCCGGGGGGTCGCGAACTAGTGCAGCGCCTTCCCCGCGCCCCCTCTCCAGGTCAATGGCCCCTTTTCCGTCCTCCTCATCGTCCTCCTGTTCCCCCATATTTTCCGTCGCCATTCTGAAACAAGCTGTTCGGTTTTGTCGTTGGCGGTCAGTTGCCGGTCCGTCCGAGGCCAGTTTGCCTGGGGGCTCTCCTCGGTGGCGATTCCTTATCCACCCCGCCGGCGACCGATGGCCCCAGAGTGTCGCATCTGCTTGGACACCATCCACCCCAACGACCCCGGGGACCCCGCACAGTCGTTGGCTTGCGGCCACACTTACCACGCCGATTGCGCGAAGCGTGCCATGATGTCCAAAGGGATTTCGCTCGTCGAGAACTTCCCTTGCCCCCAGTGCCGGACCACGCAGCTGGGCTTGCAGCTTGCCGAGAACAGCCTTTTCGACGAGCAGCGCGCCGGCAGCCCCGACGGCCCCGCGCCGTCCTGGCCCCCGTCCCCAGGGGGCGAGTCGCACGCGCCAGAGCCCAGCGTTTTCTTTCGGCCGCCGCAGTCGCCAGCGCGGCCGTCTGGCGCGCAGTCGTCGGCGTCGCCGCAACAGCCGGCGACGCCGCGACCGCCCGCGCCCCCCGCGCCAGCGTCCCCGAGCGGCGGCGAGCCGCCTGCCACGCAGCTTTCCCCGCCGAGCTCGGCGCCGTCTCCAACGCAGGAGCAAGGCTCCAGAGGGATGGGGAGCCAGACAGACGTTGGGAGAGAGAGAGAGAGAGAGAGAGAGAGAGAGAGAGACACCAAGAGAGATCAATATATTCGTCATCAGGCAGGTCTGCCGCGCCGGTGCAGCACATCGCCTCGCTGGGGGCGTCCTTCCGTGACATGTCCAGAGCGGCGGCGGATCGCGCGGCGCTGCCAGATCCGCTGCGCTCGTGGCAGGCCCCGGTTGGCGCGGGACATCCCCCTTCACGGGTAGCGCTGCCGCCGATGGCCCCCCCCCCCCGCCCCTCCCTGCGTCGGGTGCCGCGACGGCCCCGGGGCCGCTGCGCGGCATTTGAGGGAGCGGGGGCTGTGCGCCGACAGCGCTGCTCCGTGGAGGGCGGGGGTTGCAGCGCCCCGACAGGATGACCTGGCCGCGCACGCGTCCGACGACATCACCCTGCTCATGCACGACGGCGCACTCTTCCGCGGGATGGAGACAGCGGCGGCTCTCCGCAGAGCAGTGCCTGCCTGGTTGACGGAGATTGCCGCGGATACTCGCACGCACCGCGCGATCGCTGGGGACCCGACCATGGGGGGCATCCGTTTGCAGATGCCCTTGCCGTTCGTCCTGGCCACGCGCACCGCGGCGCGCAGCGAGGGCTGGCGCGCCGAGACAGTGATGGCGCCCGTGTTGTCCAATATCGGTTGGTGCGAGCGGCCGGGCCTCAAGCTCCACGTTCGCGACGACGAAGCGCACGGCCGCGCCGCCGTGGTGCAGATTTTCGTGGCAGGTGACCCCAGCATGAGGAAATCCTCCTTGAAGGAGTACACGAGCAAGACTCTCCTGGCCGGCGATGGCGTCCCCGAAGTCCTGCGCTCGGGCGACGCCGTTTCCACCGACGCCACGGTGAAGGGCATCCGCACCTCCGTCGCCAATTACCAGCGCGCGGGGATCGTGAGCGACGAGGTGGCCACCACCTACGCAGTGCGCGCGCGCACGAATCCCGGCCTGCACCCCGCCGACAAGGACAAGCTGTGCACGTGGCTCAATTGCGAGAGAGATGTCGTCTCGACGGGACAGGGCCGCACGGTGCTCAACGATTACGCCTTCGTCCACCAGGTGTTCGGACAGCTCGCCCCGGTCGAGCAGGTGCTGAAGCCAGAAGGGCTCGGCTTCACGAAGCGCTTCCACGTGGCCTCGCGGGGGGTCGAAATGGGCTGCCATGAATTTCGCGCCCCACGGCCCCGCTCCAACTTCTTCCTCCTCCTGCCCGCCCCCCCCCCCCTCGCCCCCTCGCGGGATCCGACGTCCGTGCCCCCCCCATCCCCTCTCCCGCGGCAGGTCTGGCAGACGGCCCCGGCGGAGTGGGCGCCAACGCAGCGCTCGTCGGAGTCGAAGGCATTCTTGGCGGGCTTCTTCGACTGGCTGGGGCAGGTGGCGGACGACGACGAGAGGGACCATTATTTTGATGGGTTCGCTCGCACTATGCTCATGGAGATTTTAGAGGCCGTGTCAGACTTCCTGGCGGAAGACAGAGACCCCCCCCTGAACGAACAGTTCGTGGAGAAGCTCCGTTGGGCCGACACCGACTTGGCCCGGTACTCGAACGCGTGCATGAGGATGAGGCAGTACGTCGAGCACAAGCGGGGCGGCATTCACGGCCCCCCTCCGCCGGGGGTCGGCCCGCCCGAGGCTGGCGCCTGCGATCGCCCCCCGCAGCCCGTCGTTGCGCGCAAGCCAGCATCGGTCGCCATGTCGATTTGCGATCTGGCACACGCGGTGCACACGTGGCGCCACCAGATGCACTTGTGGCACGGGTACTTCGTCCACTGCGACGCCGCGTGGCCGCTCGACCAACCCGGTGAACCGCGGGCGCCAACAGGAGATCCCACCGCCGGCCTGGCCCCCCTCGCGAAGCTCCAGAGGGCGGTCCTGTCGCTGCCGCGCCCCGACGGCGATGGGTACATGACCACCTCGGACGCCCGGAAGTTGCTGAAGAATTTCTTCCGCAAGCACAAGGCGGAGTTCGCGAGCCCGCGCAACGCGCTGGTCGATGCCGTGGACGACCTGGCCCGCAGCCGCATCGCTGAGAAGAAGGACGCGGAGGGCGCGCCGGATGACGCGGCCGCTGCCAGCGCCGCAGGCGCGGCCCCACCGGGCCCGCCCGCCGCGGCAGGTGATGGCGCCGCGGGCGCGGGCGCAGCGGGACCGCCCGGCGCGGCGGTTGATGGCGCCGCGGGCGCAGACGCAGCAGGCCCGCCCGCCGCGCCAAGGGCAAGGGGCGGCTGGGCGATCACTTCGTTCCGCAAGCGCCCGTGGTCCAGCCTGCTGGACGACGGCGACGCGCAGGCGGCCGTTGTGCGTCTGCGTCTCAGCGGCGACGCTTTTCCTTGAGCAACGGGCGCCCGACGGCCCGCGAAGGGTATGCCAGGGGATGGCCTGCCCAGGGGACGCGCGCATTGGCCGGGCCAACTCTCCCAGCAACGTCCGCGGCAACCAGGCGCCGGCTCGTCCGCGGCCGACCCGCCGAGGGGGCGCGCGCGCGCGCCCGCCGACCCACTGATCCTTGCAGCGCCCCTGGCGGCTAGTTGCCGGTTCGTCCGAGGCGGCACGCCAGGCGGCGCTGCGCGGGCCGGCCCCGCGACTTCTCTTTCTCTGCGCAGCTCCCCGGGCAGCTGGTTGCCGGTCCGTCCGAGGCTGGTCTGCCGGGGGAGCGCGCGCGCGCGCGCGCTGGCCCGGTCATTTTCTTTTTCAGCGCAGTGTCCTTGGCGGCCAATTGCCGGTTCGTCCGAGGTTGGTCTGCCAGGGGGCGCGCGCCCGCGCCGGCCGGATTATTTTTTCGTTTTTTCTCCGCGGGGTCTTTGGCGGCCAGTTGCTGGTTCGTCCGAGGTTGGTCTGTCCTGCATCAGGGGTCTTTTTGATTTTCCTCCTTCTCCTCTCCTCCTTCCCTTCCTGCTCCTCCTCCGCTTCCACGTCCGCTCGGGGACGTAGCTTCCCGGCGACGCGGCGCCGGCGGGCCCCGGATCGCACCTCTCTGGGCCCTGGGGCGTCATTCACCTCCCCCTGATCCTCCTCCCCCCCCGCCGGTCGCCCCATCCTCAGGAGGCCAGGAGGTGGGTGAGGCGGGCGAGGAGGCGCGGGAAGGTGCAGGGAGGTGCAAGACAGGATCGCCCGCCCCTCCTTCCATGCGGTGAGAGGGACAGCGGAAGAGGTCTCGGGGGGAGGCAGAGACCCAGGGGGGATCGCCGCCCCTGCTCGCCCGCACCCTCGAAGAGGGGGGGGGCCGACGGGGGGGGGCGACGGGGGCAGCGGGGCGAAGAGGATTGGGGGGCGGGGCAGCAGGGGACATCAGAGTTCTGGTCCATGCCGGCATCAGCAGCAGCAAACGTTGGATTTCTCGAGTCTGCCGCGCAGCGGCTCGAGGCGGTGCGCCCTCTGCCGCCTGTGGCCAGTTCGTCTGGAGCGCCCCCCCTGACGGCGGTTGCCAGTTCGCCCGAGGTCGGCGAGCTGGCGTCGCCGCGCGCCTCGCGGCGCGCCGTCCGCCATGGAGACAGCCGCAGCCAGGTGCCCCCGCTTGGCGTCCGGTCGGGCTTTCACGGTCGGTTGCCCCAGAGTGGCCGTTGCCATGCTGAAGGGCTTCAAGCGAATCGAGTCCAAGGCCGGCAGATCGAATTGCCTTCCAGTCGGATGGTATTACCTGCACGTAGGCAAGAAGCCCCTCCCGCCAGCAATAGCGGACAAGTGCGCCATCGCCATCGAGGCGACGTGGCCACGGGCGCCAGAGGCCGACACGCTGCCCCGGTTCAGCGTGTACGGGGCGGTTTTGGTCGGCAAGGTCGTCGACGCCGGCGCCTTGGAGACCCCTTGGGCATTCGCAGAGTTGCCAAAGGCCCACGTGATCTTGTAATCCCATGAGTTTCAGTCCCCGATCCAAGGAGTGAAGGGCCAGCAGAGCGCGTGGCGCCCGCGGCTTGCGCGACGAACGCCAGCCCCCCAGATTTGTTTCCAGGGGCAATTGCCAGATCGATCAGAGGAAAAGCTTTCTGACCCGGGTGGGTCGCATCGGACGGGGGCCTCGGGGCCGGGGCCATTGCAGCCTTCCGCCAGGTACATCCACGACCTGGGTAAGCAGGGGTCGTTGACCGAGGCCCTGGCGCAGGCGACCCACCGCGTCTTCCCGCCGTTCGCGCCGGAGCTGGCCGACGCGAGGGCGACGTCCAGGCCTCGAGGGGCCGCCGCTGTCGGCGCGCCCTGGCCCCGCAGGCTCCCCGCCAAGCGGCGCAGCGACGCCGGGGTCGCGAGGGGCGCCAAGGCCTTGCGCACCCGGCGCGGAGAGAGCCGGATGCTGCCAGGGCCGCCGGTGCCCGAGGAGAGCGCGGCCAAAGCCCCCGCGTCGCTGGTCGCTCCTGACGCGCCCGCGGGCCGAGGCGTCGAGAGGCGTTCCCTGGCGCAGCGCGTGGCGGCTGGGAGGGCGTTGTCACGGCTGGTGCATTTGATGGACATGCATTTCCTCCACGAGCCAGTCGTCTTCGGCACCGCGGATCCGCCGCGGCCGCGCGGGGGCCTTTTCGCAATCAGCAGAGGGCAGCTCGCGTTCATCCTGGGCGTATTCACCCGCCGGGGGAAGCCGCTCGCGGACATCGCCCCGCTGGTGGCGTGCCGCGACGGCGGCCGCGATCTCCTGAAGGCATCGTACAGTCACGCCACCACGTGCCCCGCAAGCCATCTCGTCGACGTCGGCCTCCACTGCGCAGTCGCCACCGGGGTCGCTGATCGACGCGGGGCGAGCATTCTGTTCGAGGATGTGCGGGAGTCGCGATGCGCCTTGCCAGAGCCGAAAGCAGACGACCTGCGCCAGACTCGCCAGGCCGCGCAGGCGTGGGCCGGCGGGGACATGGAGTTGCCGTGCGATGGCAGCTGCCACGTGGACCACAGCGTCGGTGAAATCATTCCCGCGGGACGCGGGGGGATGTGCCCACTCCCAGTCCCTCCGCCTTTGCCCGCGCCGATGCCGCGCGATTGATCTTACTGCGTCAGGCGAGAAGCGCCCGCGGTCCATGGCAGAGTCGCGCGCCGTGGCGCGCCGGTTGCCAGTTCGTCTGGGGCCGGTCGCCCAGCGAGTCCGCCGCGGGCCGCGCGGCGCTTGGCCGCCGCTTCGGAGATGGCCTCGCCGCCGCCGAGAGGCCGCGGCGATGCCGACTCCGAGGGCGCGGGCAGATCGGCGCGGGGGGGCGCGGGAGCGCGGCGGTGAGCAGATCGCCTCGCGCAGGGTTGCAGAAGCATTTGGCAGAGCAGGAGGCGCTTGGCGTGCCGCACCACGCAGCGATTAGCAGCGAGGACCACAAGTGCTTCTGGGTGCTGGCCTTGCCTTTGCCCCGGCAGTTCGACGCGAGGCGGAGACGCTGCCGCACATGCGCGGCGGCTGGTCTTCCGAACCGTTATTTCGCCACGGACGTCAGCGACGTGGTGGCCGCTGTGCCGGGCGTGCTCCACTTGCGCTTGGAGAAGCAAGGGTCGGTGTTCATGACCAAGCAGTTCTTGTTGCACCTCGTCCAGCTCTTCCACGATAGACTTTGTCTTCGGCAGACTCGCCGCGCTTTAGTGGAGCAATACTGCGCTGGCGCTGCAGGGCTCCGAGCGGCCGGGCGAGTCCTCTCGTACTTGCGAGCCATTCCCACGGCGCCGGGCCTCGAGCAAATCTTGTTGACGGCGCTCGAGGGCTACCTGGCCGAGGCGACCCGCCACATGCAGAAACGCATCAACGTGCACTCGGGCGCCGTCATCAGGGGCGACGGCAATTACGAGCAGGCCCGGAAGGTCGCCGTGGAGGGCGACGGTGGGAGAGATCGCCCGTGCACGGTCCTGCTGGCCTGGGTGACCGTGGACGGGGCGCTCTACCAGCCGCCGACGCTTTCAAGGTCAGAGGACGTGAAGGATGTACTGCAGGACCTGGGCCCTCTGGTGGGCAGCTTCAAGCAGGACCGGCTGGAGGCAGGTCTCAGCCTAGTGGACTCGGCTCCAGCAGTGCACGCCACGGACGTCTACGGAAGGCAGCGGTTGCAGCTGAATGCTTTCTACAGAAGGATGTACCCGGAGCTCGACGCCGACGCGGCGGCAGGGGCCCCGACGCCGAGGGGCGACACGACGGGCGCTCGGACGCGCTTCGCCGGTTCTCCGACCACAGTGACAGGCGATCCGCTGCACGACACGCTGGCTGTCATGCGGCTCATCAGCGCGGCCTCGCCAGACGCGCGGAATATGTGCTACGACCACAAGGACTTCCGATTGCTTTTCGGGTCAACCCGAGTCCAACGCGGGCATGCCCCAACCATCCTGCAGCGTGGGGTCCTCGCTCTGAGTAAACGTCGCCCCATTTCCCCCTCCTCCCTTCTCCCCCCCTCCCATTCCCACCCCCCGCTTCTGCCCTCCGCATCGCCATCGTCATCGGCGTCGTCGTCAGCGCCAGCATCGTCATCATCGTCGTCATCATCGTCACGCTTGTTATGGCCATCCCTGCCGTCGTCGCCATCGTCGTCATCGCCATCATCATCAACAGCATCCCCCCGCAAGGCAGACATTCACTCTTCAGTGGACATATAGGCAAAAAAATCCTTCCCACAAGGAGTTCCGCCCAGGGTCCCGGTGGCCGCGTTCCCGCGCATTCACCGCCCCACTCTGGCGCCCCATAAGGAGCTCCACCTCTGGTCCCAGCGGCAGGGTTCGCATGCGCGACCGCGCCAATTCTCCCACTCCCCTCGCGCGCTTCGTGGCTCCATAGAGAGCTCCGCCTGTGGCCCCAGGGGCAGGGTGCGCATGCGTGACCGCGCCAATGGCAAGCCCCTTGCGCGCCTCGTTGCCCCCTGGGGAGGTCCACCGCAGGCCCCAGTGGCAGCGCCAGCAGGGCGTTGCCCCGCGCATATCGGCATGCCCCGCACGCGGATCGTTGCCCGACAGGGCGCCCCGCCGAAAAGCCCCAGCGGCAGGGTCCGCGTGGCGCTGCCCCGCCCAGGAATGCGCGCCCGTCACAAATTTCGTGACCCCGCGTTGAGCTCCCGATCCTTCGCCCCAATTGCATCGCGGCACTCACAGTTGCTTGTTTTTTTTTCCGCCATGGTAATTTTCATTGGGGCAGGGGGGGAGAGGGCATCACTCAGGTTTCCGCGGGACTGCTGGTAACTCCCCCCCCTCCCCCGCCGCCCCCCCCCCCCTCGACTGCCCGACCAGCGCCGCGAGGACATGCTGAACCGCTTGTCGCTGCCGCCGCGACGCCCCGCTGCCGCTGCCCCGGTGCCCGCAGAACAGCTGCCCTCCGCACCAGTTGCCGGCCCGCCCGACGTGGGCGCAGGGGAACCGGCTGCGCAGCCGCTGGCAGTGGAGCACCATGAGATGCTGCG